TCCATTGTGTAGATGTGCCATATCTTCCTCTTAGATTATTTATTTTATTTATTTTATGTGTATGAGTGTTTTGCCTGCGTGTATGTGCATTCACTAACTATGTTCATGCAGTATCCTTGGAAGACAGACAGCATCAAATCCCCTGGGACTAAAGTTACAGAAGCTGCAAGCTATCATGTGAGTGCTGGGAATGGAACCCAGGTCCTGCTGAACCATCTCTCTAGCCCTTGTCATTTTTTTTTTAATAAATTCTAAGATATATTTTTTATTTTGATTTTATGTGTGTAGGGTATTGTTTTGTGGGGGTGTTTTGTTGTTGTTTTTAGTTTTTTGTTTGTTTGGTTAGCTGGTTTTTTTTTTTTTGGCTTGCAAATATACCTGCTCAGAATGTGCAGGCAGTGTCCTTAGAGCTTAGAGGCTGGAAGAGGGTGTCACAAACCCTGGAACTGGAGTTACTGACAGTTGTGAGCTACCAAGTACATGCAAGGTATCAAACCCAAGTCCTCTGAAAGAGTAGCCAATGCTCTTAACTGCCAGGCATCTCTCCAGAGCCAATCTTTTGTTACTGATAACTTGCTCTTTCCTTCATTACTGAAAACTCCGTTCCTTCCTTCCTTCCTTCCTTCCTTCCTTCCTTCCTTCCTGCCTCCCTCCCTCCCTCTCTCCCTCTCTTTCTTGTGTTCCTTTGTTTATGATCTACTTCCCAACAAGACTCTCAACTTCCAGAAAACAAGCACCATGCCTCTCTAGCACTTTACTCACAGCATCTGGAACACATCAGTACTTCTGGCTTAGTTGGTAAAGTGCCTTCAGGCAAGCATAAGGGCTCAAGTTTGGATCCCCACACAATATAAAAGCTAGGCACAGCATCTAGTGTTTACAACCCCAGCATTGGCGCAACTAAAAACCAGGTAGAACCTTACTGCTTATTGGCTAGCCAGCTCAGGCAAATCAACGAGATCCAGGTTTATCTAGAAACCTGTCTCAAATAATAAGGTGGAAGGGATGGGGAGATGGCTTAACAGGTAAAACACTTGCCTCACAATCCTGAGGTTGCAAGTAAATGTCCACATAAATGTCAGATAGGTGTGGTGGCCCACCTGCTATCTGAAACAGGCACAGGGGATCCCCAGAGCAAGCTGGCTAGCTAGACACTGTGCTCAAGTGGGGGACCCTGCCTGATACATAAGGTAGAGAGCAATGTTGAGGAGATCACCTGATGTCAGCCTCTGGCCTCTACATGGACCCTTACACATGCACACTCACATGCATGTGCTGTACACACAAGCACAACGCATGCACACACAAAGTATTTTAAAGGGTTTGGAATAGAGTTCAGTGGCTCAGAGCGCCTGCCTGGCATACATCAGGCCCTGGGTTCAATTCCTAGTGCCAGAAAAAAATAATTTATTAAAAGAATAGCTAGACTTTAGAGATCAGAAGGGGGTTGGAACAGGTAGAACTTCCTTTTTCTTACTGAACGTCTGACAAGTGAACTCACAAGTAATACTATCATCACCTAGTGACACCTTTGATGTACTCCCCTCCTGTAGTCATTTCATCCCAAAGCCAAGATGAGGGAGGGGTGTTTATCACAAGATGTACAGAGAGCCAGGAGCTCAGGTTTCTACAGTGGAGTGGGAGGGGCCCCACACTGCCTGAGAGATGAATGGTTCCAGGAAGGCCCAACGTTATCTGTAAGGGAAATTACAAGAAAGAAGGGAGGGAGGCTGTAACCAGTAACAATATTGCTTAAAGTTTCCACCCTGCTATAAAAAAATTGAAATGTGCACAAGAAACTTAAAGCACATCTCCAACTGCTTACTTGTGACTTTAAGACCCCACTGGTGAGCTAAGCCATTTCTCTACACTTAAGTCTCTCAGAAAAACAACTCCTCAACTTTTATTTTTAATAATCCAAAATTTTCCATGGGTAACCTATTTTACCAGCTTACTATCTTTTAAAACTTTTCAAACCATCTAACCTTTACAATATCCAATGTTTTCCTAGGCAGCCACTGGAGTTGCAACTGATACAGGAAATGGACATTCCACCATTCCCTCCCTGGCTTAGTATCTTGAAGATCACTGCAATACTAAGTTTTATGGTATTTACTTGCATAATGGCCCTCTACTTATGTATCCAGCTCCCAGGCTAAGTAAATGTACTCCAAGAGATTATTTCCCAATTCTGTTGCTTTTAGCACCTTAAAAAGGCTTGTTTGCTTATTTTTTGTTTTAAACCAATTTACCACAGGAGAATAGAAAGTTGGGCAGAGGGTCCTGTATGCTGTTTACCTAAATGTTCTTCCAACTGGTGTCTGTTGTTGTCACAGTCCTTAACTAGCTCCTATTTAACCAAAACCCATGGAAACCTCAATTCCTTTCTACTTTTCATAACTGAAGGCCACTCATTTCTCTGCTACTAAATGAATCCTGCCTGTACATTAGGCTGCCCTATATAGTAGGCTACTTGGTACTTTAAGGGCAGCAAATTAAGAATCATGATAAACCAAACAAATGGTGGTGGCACATGCCTTTAGGCCCAGAACTCAGGAAGCAGAAACAGGCAGATCTCTATGAGTTCTGAGGCCAGCCCAGTCTATAGAGTGAGCTCCAGGGCAGGCTCCAAAGCTACAGAGAAACCCTGTCTTTGGAGGGAAAAAGCATATTCTCTTGACTGCAAATAAATTTGCTGTATAGGGGTTTATCAAGAGAACAATTAGTAAGTTGGCTCTTACCATAATGGACCTCAAATCTCAGTGTCTCAAACCAAACCAAACAAACAAACCACCCTCTGTTCAGTAGCTGATTTCTCTCTCTCTCTCTCTCTCTCTCACACACACACACACACACACACATACACACACACACACATACATACACACACACACACACACATACATACACACACACACACACACACACACACACACACACACACACACACGAGAGGAGACCAAGATTTTAGCTTTTTGTTTTGTTTCTGATTTTTAACATATAAAGTGGAATCAAACCATTAATAACTAGCTCAAATAGACTTTCTAGCCAGACCTTTTTCTTTCTGTTAAAACTGACACCTCTCAGGTTATATCTTAATTTTTAATTCTTTGCCACCTGGAGCATCTTGGAGTTACATCAGGCTATCAGACAGGCTTAGGTTAACTGAGTTCCCCCAGCAGCTAGGAAAGCCCCAGAAAGTGGTAGACGGAAACTTTGCAATATCATCTACTTACTGAAAAGCAAAGATAGTCTATGGCAGTTATAAAAACCCACTAAGTAAGCACAATTCCCCTGCCAGTCAATATTGTGACTAAGTGGTAGCCATCTCATGTGACAGAAACAGGAACAACCATGTAGGTTTAGGATTACCTTTGAGGAAATGAGGAAAAATGTTATAGAGATGAAAGGGAGCTTAAGGAGGCTGCCATCTCTCACACAGCAGTGCAGACCTTTTGAACCTCTTACTGGCTTCATTCATCCAGGAAGCAGCAACCCTTTATAAGCATCAATTAAGGGTAGCAGCAAGCTCCATTTGAAATGGTGAAACCAGAGTGTTTAGAGCTACAGCAACCCAACTGTGAGTCAGGACCAAGTAGTCATCAGACCCAGGACTCTGGAAACCCCATCTCTGGCAGAGGATGCAATCTATCTTGCAAGGGGATGAAATAAGTCATAGAAGAAACAGATAGTTAACAGAGATGTGAACATTCATCTTGGAATGGGGCAATAAGAAGAAAACCCAACAGTCAACGACCCAAGTCCCTCAAATACCATTTAATCAAGATGGAAAAAAGGATGGCCTTGGCTTCAGCCCCACAGATACAGTATGACTTGTAAATGGATGTTTCGGGCTAAGGCTACTCTGTCCAACCTCAGGCTCTCTTTTTTTTTTTTTTTTTTTTTTTTCCCCAATTTGAGTTCAGAAATGCCTATTCATCTGTGGCCACAAAAAAAAAAAAAAAAAAAAAATGAATCAGGTATTTCAACTGTACACATGCATGCTGAAACTGAACCACCCTAGCCTGAAAGCTACAGTTGCTCTGACTCCTGCCCTACCCCAAGGAAAAGTTATAACACTCTGTATATCTAAAGTACAGGGAATGAACAGGTGTGTTTCACAAACTGGGGTTTTACATGGGAACATGACCCGCATCTCTAGGGTCAAGCAAAGTAACCAGCTAGGCAAGTCTAAGCTTTCTTTGGTACATGAGATGAACACAATTAAATGCTCCGTTGGTTAAGCTGCCCTTTCCAAATAACAGTGAACTAGAACAAATAAATCTGTAAGACTTTAAGGCGAGCTGGGGTTTGCCCAGCTTCTTCTGAAGAATTAGGATGCCCTGTCAGAACCTTCAGTGGAGGAGCAACAGGTGTGCCATTGAGTAAGAGCAAAGAGAATTTACCAAACTCCAAAGAGCTCCCTCTGATCTTGGAACCATCACCTACCACGAATTCCGACCCGCAGCAGAACAGCACACTGTTCTAGAGTTCATGCTGAGGGGCAGGCGACTTAAGGTGAGAATGTGAATCCGCAATCACCATGCTGGTTATTTTTCCCATTCTGGACCACACCCCTCCTCCAGCCCAGCAATCCTCCAGCTCTGGGGTGTTGGGGCTTTCACTCCAATTAGTTTTTTCTGCTCCCTGCCCCAGGGGTTCTCATCTCAAAGCGTCAAGCTTAACAAAACACCCAGGGGGGCTCCCACTAAAGTTAAAGCGCGTATCAGGCACACAGCACCCAACCTAATAGAAATTTTTTCAATTCATCAAAAATTCATCTAATGCTTACTGTATGCCTTGCGTTCCGAGGCGCCCTGAGGATTCAAAACCTCTCCTGCCTTCCAAAAGCCCTCACACTGGGAGATCTGGGACGTGACAGCCGGACGAGAAGCTGGGTTAGAAGAGCGAAGCCATCGCGCCATGGCTGCCACGCTCGCCCCCCAGGAGCAGCGCTGCCCGAGCGCCCTTCCTCCCCTCGACGCCCCGCGCCCACTCACTGCTTCTTCCTGCGGTTCTGGTCCCGGTGCAGCTCCCGCAGGTCCACCTCGGCGCGGCCCAGGAACTTATCGAGCCCGAGCAGCGCGCGGTGCAGGACCGTGAGCTGCAGGGTGGCGGCGGCGGCGGGCGCGGCCCCCGAGGACAGCAGTGGCGGCAGCTCGAAGGTGGCCTCCTCGCGCCACACGGGCGCGCCCAGGCTGCGCTCCGACACCGATGTGGCGTACTTCTCCTTGCCCACCTGGATCACCGCGTAAGCGTCGCTCGTGCCCCCGGGACCCTTGGCCCGCAGACCCCGCGCCTGGAGCACCGTCACCTGCACATGTGTAGGGGACCACATGGTCCCCAGGCCCCGGCCTGCTGAGGCCGCCAGGGACATGGTGGCCGACGCCGCACCAGCTGGCTGGATGGCCACAAGGTAGCCGCTGTCCTGGATCTGGACTGCCCACCCGCCTCCCGGGACGCTTTAAGGCTTCCGGCCACGCCCCCACCACGCCCCCGAGCCCGCGCGCCACCTGCCTGTGGGGCGGGCCTCTCAGGGACCGAGAGCCGGGAGGGGCCAGGAGAAGGCGGGGACCTAAAGGTCACGTGGACTCGCTCTTAACTGAATCTTTGGACCAGAGAGTTAGCGATGCAACTTGAGGTCCTCAGCTACCTGAGTCTCTAGGAGGGGACAGGAGCTAGGTAGAAGGCCGGAATTGGAAATCATGCATAATTTCTAAATCTTGCACCGGCAAACCGCAGATGCCTTACTTAAAACTTTGCCTCAGTTTCCTCCTTTGTGAAACAAGGCAACGGTCGTCCCTTGAACTGCTGTAAAGAAAGTGAAACATTTAAGTTTTCAGCACAGTCTCATACATGTGGGGAGGTTTCTGAAAGTGGTAAGTGCTCAGGATAAGCACAGCTCCTCTTGTTCTGGTCCCTTGGATACTGCCCTGAGGGATGGCAGGCACCAGGGACTATGTAAAGATGTTATTTGGACCTGCGTAGAGGAACAGAGTAGAGGAACAGAGAACCGGAGGGTTAGTGGTGGGCCAGTGCTACCTGCTCTCACCAAATAAGGTGAGGCTGAGTTAGGAAGAACAAGAAGGGGGAACTGGAAATAGGATTGCCAAACTAATCCCTTCAGTTCCCCATTTCTTCCCACTCAGCCTCTTGCTGTGTCTCTGGGCTCCATCTCTGATCTCCCACGGGTCTGCTTTCTTGTTCCAGTGTCTAGCAGATGGGTGACTTCCCTGTGTGTTTCAGGCTATCATCCTTCAAAGGCTGGAAGGCTTTTAGGTCTTACGATTAAGGAAGGGTTCAGGAAAAAGATGTGGTACGTCCAAGGTCCTGCATTAAAACTGGGAATAGAACCCCGGTGTCTCGGTTCCCGTGCTAGAATCTGCTGCACCTCTGCTCTACCACATTCTTGGGTTACCAGGTCGGCCAAGGTCTCCAGGCTTCTCTCCCCTGCACTGGGTTCCCTCCTACCACCTGTCAGTTACTTCCCCAACAACTGGAAGCCCTGCACTGTTGCATCACACCAGCTGCATTGCTTTCTCACTTAAGAGTCTTGAAGGCATTCCTTTTTGGGTTCCACCCCGGTGTTTTCCTTGACTTCTGGATAAACAAGCCTACAGCTCAGACAGTTTCTCTCCCTCTAGACAGGAGCAGCTTCCATAGTCTTTTTGACTGTCCTTGCTGCTCAGCCCTCCATAAATACTCCCCATGGCTTCACAAAGACTTATCCAAGGTTTGACTTGATGTAGGTAAATTGTTCAACTCCCCCCTCTCTGTTTCTCAGTCTTTAGGCAGGGTGGGGGTGGTGCAGTGATGGTGGCGGTGTTGTAGAAAATAAGACTGCCAAAGTGGCCTGGTCATGCAGATTATCAACATCGGTGTGGCCTGCAGGGTAAGACCTGGGGAGCCAGCCTAGGGAGGGCTGTGAGCCGCAGCAGCATCCTTAAACTGTGCCCAGTTCCTAGGTAGCTGTGGCAGTGAAGAACATGCTATTTTCCTTCCTTTGTTTTCCCCTGCAGACTCTCTTTTTTTGCTATCTGCCTGCACCTTGCCCATCCTTGCTGTCTAGACTCAGTTATCCCCCTGCTTCTTCAGTGTGGGCAAACTCACATCTCCAGCTGGATCTGGCATCCAAACTGGCTCTGGGAGGAAATTTTCAGCTCTGATTTCCTCTAGGATTATTGGGGCTAGAGAGACAGCTCAGCAGTTAGGAGTATCTCGCACTTCTAGATGACTCGGGTTTGATTCCCAGCACCTCCATGGCGGCTCAAAACTGGCTCTAGTTCAAGAGGATCTGATAGGCTCTACAGGGACCAGGCATGTATGAGGTACACAGATGTATATTCAGGTAAAACACCCATACACATAAAATAAAAATAATTTTAAATATTTGATTTTACTATATAATTTATTTACTTTTTCTTCTTCTTCTTCTTCTTCTTCTTCTTCTGCTTTTTTTTTTTTTTTTTTTTTTTTTAAGACAAACAAGATATCTGCATGTAGAACAGGCCAGCCTCAAACTTCCAAACTTCTCTTTGTCCTGTCTCCCCCTCTGAGGGCTGACATTACAGACATGGGTCATGTTGCTCAACTTCCACACTCACATTTGTTTGTGTGTGTGTGTCTGTGTGTGTGTTTATGTGTGTGTGTGTTTATGTGCATGTGTTTATGTGTGTGTGTGTGTTTGTGTGTGTGTTTATGTGCATGTGTTTATGTGTGTGTGTGTGTTTATGTGTTGTGTGTTTATGTGTGTGTCTGTGTGTCTCTGTGTGTGTTTGTGTGTGTTTATATGTGTGTGTTTGTGTATGTGTGTGTGTCTGTTTATGTGTGTGTGTTTGTGTGTGTTTATGTGTGTGTATGTCTGTGTGTGTTTATGTGTGTGTGTGTTTGTGTGTGTTATGTGTGTGTATGTCTGTGTGTGTGTTTATGTGTGTGTGTGTATGTCTCTGTGTGTGTGTCTGTGTGTGTTTGTGTGTGTGTCTGTGTTTATGTGTGTGTGTGTGTGTTTATGTGTTTGTGTATGTTTGTGTGTGTTTATGTGTGTGTGTATTTATGTGTGTGTGTTTGTGTATTTGTGTGTGTGTGTCTGTGTTTATATGTGTGTGTCTATGTGTGTTTATGTGTGTGTGTCTCTGTGTGCATTTGTGTGTGTGTTTATGTGTGTGTGTCTGTGTGTGTGTGTTTGTGTGTGTATGTTTGTGTGTGTGTGTGTGTGCTTCCACAAGGAAGAGAGCAAGGATTAAGCCAGAGCTGAGCAGTCTCTCAGGGTGAGCAGGGGACAGCATCTCTTCAGCCATGGAAGGGATAGAGAGAGGGAGGTGCAGTGGGAAAGTTGACATCATGAGCATTTGTGACCTTGTGTGTTTGGGTTTCTGTCACACAGAAACTGACTAAGCAGGGATGGCAGGATGGGGGAGGGCAGTACCACTTCACATCCACCCCCCAGTAAGTAAGGCCCATTTTCTCTGACAGTGGACTCCCAGCAGGGATCAAGTGAATTGCCTGGGACTAGGCTTAGTCAGGAAGAGAATAGGGTGTTTCTTAGCCAGTTGTGGACCTACAAGGTGCTTGCTTTCTTCTCATTCTTGGGACCTCAGCACTGTCCCCAAGACTCAGTGACTGAGTGAGAATATGCCTGCTCCCATTTTGACAACACTGAACTTGACTTAGGGATACACACACAGGCATGGTGGCAAGGGCTACAACAAGGCTGACAGACTAGGGGCTCTGGCTGCCCATCAGCTGCACCACCACTCCTAGGCTGCTGGCTATCCTAAAGGCAGGTCAGCCATTGGAGTGTTTGTAAATACCTCTCCTCCCGTGGCCGGGGAGGAGAGAGAGAGAACTGTTCTTCCTCCCACTCTGCCCCGAAAGAGGAAGAGAGCTTCAGTCAACCCTGAGCACAGAGACAAGGTGCCTGGCAGGTTAGACTGGACAGGCAGGGCAGCAGCTGTCCTGCAGTAAATAGCAGCAATACACAGCCAGCAGGAGGAAGGCTCTGGGGCCTCTCCATAGGCAGTGACCAGGACGGGTAGGTAGTTCTGATCAGGAATGCAGATTTGCAGTGGCCAGCTCGCAGCTTCCTCGTCTATGCTGGGGAGGAGAGCTATTCAAACAAAGGGACACTGTCACTGCCCTCCCAATTGCCAATCAAAAAAAAAAAAAAAAAAAAAAAAAAAAAAATGATCCCGAGGAAGTTTAGGTGGCTGATGTGGCAGGCCAGAGGAGGAGCTGGAAGAGTACGGTAATAATGGCTGCCTGTTCTCATTCTTTGCTGAAGATTCCAGGGTGTGGTGGTAACAAACGTCCACACACAGTGATTCATTCATCCAGCTCTTGGTAAATAGCTATCTAGCCTCTTATGTCCAGCTGCCTTGGCACCTGCCCACTAGGTTGGCCATGACTGCCTGCCTTCTCCTCTGAAGGTTTGAGAAGTGTGCTGGTTAGTTCTTTGTTTGTTTTGGTTTTTGGTTTTTGAGGCAGGGTTTCACTGTGTAGTCCTGGCTGCCTGGCTGCCTGGCTGTCCTGGATCTCACTCTGTAGACTGACCAGGCTAGCCTCAAACTCACAGATATCTACCTGCCTCTATTTCCTGAGTTCTGGGATTGAAGCTGTTTGGGTTTTTTGTCTACTTAACAAAAACCTAGATATGTCTGGGAAGAGGGACTCTCAATTGAGAAAATGCCTCCATCAGAATGGCCTACGGACATGTAAGAAATTTTCTTGATTAAGATTGATGTGAGAGGGCCCAGACCACTGTGGATGGTGCCACCCCTGGGCAGGCAGGCCTGGATTGTACAAAACAATAAGCTGAATAAGCCATGGGGAGCAAGACAGTAAGCAGCACCCCCCCCACCCCCCCCACCCCCGCTTCAATGTCCGCCTTGAATATCTGTCCTGCCTTTCCTTGGTGATTGTCTATAAGTTGTAAAATGGAAATAAGCCTTCTTGCCCCCAGCTGCTTTTAGGCATGGTGTTTATCACAGCAATTGAAAGCAAACTAGGGCAGGGAAGGAACAAGAGTCTCTGGCTGTCTCACTGAGGGGTGAGGAAGTGTAAGTCTCCAACATCAGGGTCTTTCTCCATTGCCTGAGTGGCTTAGTGGAAGAGCCCTTGTCTGATATTCATGAAGTATCACACAGTACTGTCAAGAAGAAACAAACAACCCCCACCCCCAAATTGAAATAAAAAACTTGCAGAAGTAGATAGAGATAGTACTCATAGGTTTGTTTGTTTTGGTTGTTTTTTGTTTTGTTTTCAAACTTGCTTCTATTGCCTTTGTCTAACAAGGCTGTGACATAGATAACATGAAGGTGCTGTCAAGACCTCTCAGAGAAAGTTCTAGATCCCTCTATAACTCTAAGGCACAAAACACATGTGTCCCCTCTTCTACCCATTATGACAAAGACTTCCCTGCCTCTCCTGTTTCCTA